TTATCTTGAAAACATTAACTTTTTTAAAGCAAACATTATCAGCAAGACAAGATCTACAAATAAGTTTAATGGCCGAAATCTTAAGTCGACTTATTATTTAAGTTATTGCTCTTTAATGGCGAATTTTACCAATTTGTAGACTAAGTTTATTTGACTTTTATCTGGAAAAACTATAATAGACAAATAAGAAATGGTAAAAATAATCAGCAAGGTGAGATCTTCAAGCAAGTCAACATGCTTGAAATCGTTAGTCGAATCATTATTAGAGTCTCTTTGGATTTACTTGCTTTTAGCGTTTTTTCGTGAATATAACTCTATGCAGATTAGAAAAAAAATTAATAAATATTTTTTATAAAGTAGGTATATATTTACTATTTGTTATACAAACAACTCTGATCTAGCTCCATACACATACGGAAAATTGGCATGTTCCAGAGGGGTATACAGTCAGTAGAAAAATTAATTGGAGTTTCTATTTACCAGCTCGTTTTCATGTGCATTTAAAATTGATAGCGTCCTTGCTAAAACGGGAATCTAGATTTTTTTTGTATAAAAGATAAATGTTGTTAATTTTACATAGGTTTAAGAGCCAATTTGTCGTTTATTTACTTCCTGTTTGTCGCATCTAGTATGTATTACACATTGATTATCTGTAATATTGTATCTGATCATTTTACGTGAGCGGGAGTATTCAACCAACAACGGGACTGGTTTATCAATTTGTGGTTTATCAAATCTGATGTGTTCCCTCGGTTTTAATTTGTAACCCGGATTTGTTTTCTCTTAATCGATTTATGACTTTTGAACAGCGGTAAACTACTGTTGCCTTTATTTATCTAGCTGTTTGTAGTAGTGAGAACATTTTGAATCCAATTATACGTAGTTCATTTGCCTTGCTAGCTCACTTGGACCGAAGGGCTAGGTCAGCTTTCCCAATCACTTGGCTTCAGTCGTCTGTCGACGTCGTCCGTTTACTTTTACAAAGGTCATTTCCTCTGAAACTACTGAGGCAAATTTAACTAAACTGAGCCACAATCACCGATGGGGTATCTAGTTTGAAAAATATGTCCTCGCCTGCCGACAAATATGGCTGACATAGCTAAAAAGATAAGATGTGGGTAAAATGCAAGTTTATTTTTCTATTATCTTAAAAACCACTGTAGGTAGTGAAAATCTGACAGGACAGAAAAGGTTGAGATCTACCTATTGTCCATTTACAACACAAGTGTCTTAATCGAAGATTTTTACCATTTATTTTCATTTTTTTCTTATTATCGTAAAAACTGCAATAGATAGAGAGAAACTTTCAATTGCAAAAACGATCAACAAGACAGGATCTACAATTAAGTCACGCTACTGAAATCGTTAGACGACTCCTTATCTGAGTTTTTGCCCTTAAATGACGTGTTTCCCCATTTCATTGTGTTTTTATCAGCAAGAAAAGTCTACATATAATTCAATTGATCCAAATTGTCAGTCGACTCCTTCTTGGAGTTAATGCTCTTTAGTGATGATTTTCACCCCGTTTAGTGTTTTTGTCTATTATCTTGAAAACTAACATAGATAGGTAGACACTTTAAATAGCAAAATTTATCAACAAGACAAGATCTTCAAATAAGTCAATAAGGCCGAAATCATCAATATCCTCCTTCTTTGAGGGTTTGCTCTTTAATGACGATATCTACCATTTTTTTGTATTTTTGCCACAAGACAAGATCTACAAGTAACTAAAATTTTGCCGAAATCATTAGTAGACACTTTATCAGAGTGATTGCCCTTAAATGACGATTTTAATTTAATTTTTGTGTTTAAGTATTAAACTTAAGAAGATAGAAAGAAAATGTAAGAAGAAAAAATGACCAGCAATGCAATGTTAACAAAAAAAAGAGATTAATAATTCTATTCTAGTGCATGCACAATGTTAGACAGTGTCCATTGTTGAAGATGCTCATTGACCTAGGTAAACGACATGTGCTCTTTACAGCCTCTAGTTTAAGTTAGTGGTCATCCTGTCGGTAGCTGTACTTAAAAAGTGTTTTAATTTGAGTTTTACTTTTACGACACAAACCAAACCACTGTTTTGGCTGTACGAATAAAAAGGCAACAGTTGTATACTAATGATCATAAACTGTTATCACAGAGATATGTCTCGCCTTGTTGTAATTTTGATAATGCAAATGTTGAAATTAAAATAGCAATACTTTAACATGTAAGTTATGCAAATATTCAAAGTCGATGAACCATGACTGAAGGTACATGGCTAAACAATCATGGAATGAGATGTGTCAATGCTAATACTACTGCATACCAAATACCATTGACTTATTATAAGTCGTTCCCTTTAAACAAACCTAAACACAAACATTAACTTGTAAACTATGTAAAAGTTTCAAAGTCAATGAACCATGATCAGGGGTGGGGCTATATAATCTCCATGGAAACGATTCTTGCAAATGCCAATACATTTGCATACCAAATATCATTGACTTAACATTAGCAGTTCATCTTAGACTGATCTAATCACAAACCAATACATGTAAACTAAGCAAAAGTTTCAAAGTAAATAGACCATGACTGAAGGGGCGGGGCCAAAAACTCTCCATGGAAATGAGATGTGATATTGCTTATATAACTGAACACCAATCAACATTAGCCTACCACTAATGGTTCCCCTTGAACTGACCTAATCACAAACTAATACATGTTAACTTAGCAAAATTTTCAAAGTCTATAGACCATGACTAAGGGGGCGGGGCCAAATAATCTCTATAGAAATGAGATATGCCAATGCTTATACAACTGCATACCAAATATCATTGACCTTCCACTAGTGGTTCCCCATAAATTGACCTAATCACAAACTAATACATGTAAAATTTGAAAAGTTTCAAAGTCAATAGACCTTGACTGAGGGTGCTGGGCCAAATAATCTCCATGGTAATGAGATGTGCCAATGCGAATACCAAATATCATTGACCTACCAATAGTGGTTCACCATGAACTAGATCTAATCACAAACTAATACATTGTTGACGACGCCGCCGCCGCCGACGCCGGAAACAGCATACATATGTCTCGCTTTTTGACTCTGTCAAGGCGAGACAAAAACTCTTAAATGTCATTCCGAATAAAAACCCAGATTAAAGGAATCACATGAACACCAACTGAATCGGTACGGGGCGTCGGCAGTGTAAACGTCTCGTGTTATGCCATTGATTCAATTACAATGCGAATCTAAACGACGATAGGAAATAGTGCATAATCGGCAAGATAACAGATCTTTTATAAGAATTAATACGGCAAAACCATGGGTCTCGTGAGTTTAGACGCAGAAGACATAATTATATCATTATCGTCGGCCAATTTGTGATGAAGACTGTAAATCTTGTGTATTGTCGTTTTAAGTCGTTCTTCGTAATAGCCATGCTTAACTTGTTTCTTTTTCTTTTTGGCTGTTGATAAAGTCCGTATATATCACTGCAGATATGCACACGCTGTAGATTTGAGCAGAGGGTATTTTACTACAGTAAAATGGAAAACTGACAATCGGAAAACAGAAATTTTCACGTTTGTCATAAATCCTAGTCCATCTGTTTTAGATAGAGCTATGTCGCAAACCTTCAAGTTTTTTTAGTATCCTTAAAGTTAAGTTCACTAAGTTCACTTAGATAAATGAGGTGCAAGCACTTGCTGAAATGTGAGCTATTAGTAATGCATGTCAGGATATCACATATACATTGGAACTTGAAATTAAGTACTTGACAATATGCCTTTCTTTGAAAAGATTTTGGATGAATTCTGTTTTATAGAACTTCAAAAACATGTCGTCAAGCGGTTCCACAATAAGTGACCCTGGAATAACATTTAAATCTTGAAATAGCAATCTACCAAACTGGTCACATATACGATTCAATAGCCCAATATTTTTTCTGATCATAACTATGTTCTATGGTACATTTTTTTTGAAACCAGTGTGGTCCTTTACAAAGTAAGATTTTCTTTGACATAAACATGAAATGTGTACCTATGGTTTCCATGATTCCAAAAAAAACACACTGTTGAATCAGAAATTGCTTGTAGTCGATTTTTCAACTGAACATGAGGAATTATGATAGCAGTGTTAAGGATAACAATATCAAAAGTTTTGAGTAGTATTGAAAAACTATTATGATTATGATATTTTTAGTACATCCTTTGAATTTAATAAATCTTCATCTGATTGACACGACTGGTTTAGAACACCCACATTACAATATTTTTTGGGGCCACCTTTAACTGTAGTAGGACTTGTAGTAAGAATTTTAGAACGATATTCAGACGCGCCTGGTTTTTATAAGGATTTTTGTGAAGTTGTAAATCAAGCTTTTTGACCATGTGTTGTCCTATCAATTGTTCTTTGGAATTGGTTGTTGAAACCAGAAAGGTGTTGCTGTTTAAATGTGCAATTTTAGGGTGATCCCTGTTATCCTTTTAGTGTTTCTTTCTCAATCATACTCCAAGGAATTATTCACTGCCAATTATCTCTATTTTCTTTACCTATATACCTACAGTATATATATATATGCAAAACATTTTAGAGATAAGTGCCTGTGTATATATCCCTTGAAATGGAGATTAAATTAATCCAGTACGCTCGTGTTTTTAGCACAACAAACATAAGCTGCACATTACTGGCAAATTAATAAGTCAAAGACACAATATAAAACAATACGAAAATCTTTCAAAGATGCAACCCTGTGGTTTTGAAAGTTCCTTTGCAAATAATATATCTATGTACCAATAGTTTCAAATTTGTAATTTTTAAAAGGCGTTCAAGTAAAGAAGAACAGTTCATGATAATTGTCAAGTTTTTATTTAACTCATTATACATGTGCAAGCTCAGGTTAGGATGGAAACTACAACTTTTATACTGCTGTTACATTATTTTCCCGACTCGATCATGACCTATTCATGCAATCATCCGGTAGCAAAGATGACACGTTTCTTGTCTCTTCCAAGATTTATACTGGTGTCACTTTAAGATACAAGCCATTTTTGCTCCTTTGTATCAGCATACTCTCGGGTTTTGCTGGTCTTTCGGGATCCAATTCCACATGGAATTTTCGAATTATCATTGGGATGATTGTTTTTACTTGAGTCAATGCAAAACGCATTCCAATGCAGTTTCTGGAATAAGATATGATATGTTTAATTCGCGTGCACGTTACGTTTACTAACGTGTTATAGTATTCTTTTATTTGTCTTTATGAATATCACTTTTACTGTTTAGTCTGTTTTTGGTGGTTTCCATTTGACGTGGATCTGCACTTTTACATCCCGTCATTGTGTCATTGTTCTATGATAATTTTTGCATTCTTGTCTTTCGTTTTTGCTGGTGTGCTTTGTCTGTACGCCTTTTTGTGTTTCTTTTTTACATATGACGTGGCTCTGTACTTATACATCCCGTCATTGTGTTATTGTTCTATGATAATTTTTGTATTCTTGTCTTTCATTTTTGCTAATATGCTTTGTCTGTATGCCTTTTTGTGTTTCTTTGCTACATATGACGTGGGTCTGTACTTATACATCCCGTCATTGTGTTATTGTGCCATGATAAATGTTTGTTTACATATTTGTTTGTTCTTATAGGGATTAAGATAATAACACTACGTTGACTGCTGTATTCCTTTTCTTGACATTTTATCTATTATGTCTGTTGGTTTTGTTCACACATCGTTGTCAATATAAAGGAATTTTATGCGACTGTCATACAAAAGAGAGGTTTAGCTAGCTATAAAACCAGGTTTAATCCACCATTTTCTACATAAGAAAATGCCTGTACCAAGTCAGGAATATGACACTTGTGGTCCATTCGTTTGGTGTGTTTGAGCTTTTGATTTTGCCATTTCATTAGGGACTTTCCATTTTGAATTTTCCTCGGAGATTAGTATTTTTGTGATTTTACTTTTTTACTGTTAATGTGATCAGTGTGACAAAGCAGTCACATTCGTATATAGAGTACATTGATCTGTGTCCACACTTGTATTTTTAAGAAAATTCCTTTTATGATTCGATTTAGATTGCAATACTAGAGAACAGCCTTGTATGTTGACAAAAGCCTGTTTTGAGATGTATGCACTCATACAGTGGACTGATTGATGATGTCGTATCGCTATATTTTTGGAAACATTATGAAATATACTATTTCATATACTTCCATGTCATTTTAATAGATGAGCGATTATTAGGTCTAAAAAATAGTTTAATTTTGAATTATTATGTCTAAAATAAGTTTAATATTGAATTACTAAGTCTTAAATTAGTTTTATATTGAAGTTTCAGATTACAGTTGATTTACCATGATACCTATATCTAAGTTCTACCTGTCTTTTATCAAAATTATTTGCAATTTCAAATATGTTCGCATGTTCCTGGTAGAGCCATTTAAACTGAGCGGATTATGTGTCTGTATAGTAAGTTGGTCAAAGACAGCGTGCAAATTGTACAAGAATCTTCAAATTGTTTATGTGATTGTCCTGGGTTTTTTCTTGACAGTATCGACAGGTTGACTTTTTTTTATTAAGTCAATATTAGTGTGATGTTTGCCTAGAGGTGCTAAATCAAAGTTTCGAATTCAAAATCTGTTCGAGGAAGTGTCATAGATGTTCTTTAGCATATTTGAAATATTCACGCGCTACTTGTCATACATATTGAATTCCATATTTAGGTTTTGTTTATGCTGTATACGTGTATGGCTACATAATCTAAATAAAACGACAAGTTAATAATCTTTACTGTACCACTTCGGTACAATTTTTCAGAAGCAGGTTTATAGAATCTTTTATAAATGTCAATCCTTATTCGTCGTAGTCTAAAGCAGACGACATTTAAAGTCTTAAGCAGACGACATTTAAAGTCTAAAGCAGACGACATTTAAAGTCTAGCAGACGACATTCCTTGTTAATTTATTCTTACCTAGGACCAAATGAAAATACCAAGAATTTCAAAGGTGAAACTTTATTTTCTGATAAAAATCTTGAGGGGTCATATATCTGAAATAATAAAAAGTAATATTATCAATAGCAATCATGTAATTAATGTGTATATGGGTGACTTAATAAAATGAACATTTTGTAAAACCCGCCTCTTGGTGCGCGGGGAATTTCTCGCTGCGATGAAGACTCACTGTTGGCCTTGGACTGTTTTCTGCTCTTTAATTGGATTGTTGTCTCCTTGACACATTCCTCGTTTGCATTCTAAATTTTATTTTGTAAAACTAAATTTTCTATGAAAATTGTTATATATAAACTATACCTCTGGATCTTTTAAAACATCTGGGTTTCTTTGAAGAGCGTATATGAATACTCCCATCCTGGTCCCTTGAATAAAACAATACTGAATAAATATTGATTGTCAGTAGGGTGTCAACACATATGCACATATGTCAACAGAAATATATGTGATGGCAATACTATACATTAGACAATAGAAAGAGATAATGTTATTTTACTTGTGATAAGAGGATAGTTTCACGTTAATTTACCGGTGACAAGAGAACGGTTTCACAGTATTTGCACAAGTGACAGAGAAAGGATTTTATTTTTTATACATGTGACAATAGTACGTTTTCATGTTAGTATACATGTGACAAGAGTATGGTTTAGTATTAGTATACATGTGACAAAAATAGCTATTAGCCACACCAATTTAATTTTTCCATTCCAAAAATTGGGACGAGCGATCGATTTGAACATTTTAATAAAAAAAAAATTTAATTTGCAAATTTTTGGGGCGAAGCTTGAAAAGTAAAGGCGAGCGATTATAATTTTTTTTTTGTAAACCTAAAATCATAGGATCTGACAACAATATTGATCAAAACAAAATGGTATAAAACTTGATTTACCACTTGTACTTTGACATTTCTTTAATTTATCAACTGCTGAAGTGTTGTTTTTTTTTCCTGTTCACCAAGACATGTAACGCCCACCTTTTAATTGTAGCATATATATATATATATACTCCTTGTATTACTGTTAGTTTCTGGAAACAGAAATTGACCTGAATAATTGAATAATTATTTCAATTGCTTTAAATGATCTCCATTTAATTGTCATAGATGGCTTTCCTCCTTTACCGGACATGACTTGTAACTAGAAACACGGTGGGTGTCTTGCAAGAAGCAGGAACTGCTCATTCTTCCGGAAAAAGGTCAAAATACTCTCGATAGCCAGAATGCTGTAGGCATCTTGACTCTGCAGTGGAAATCTTCAAACTACATTGACACCATAACAGACATTAGAGAAAGTATGGGGACACTCTTGAGACACGGCATACTAACAACCCTATCTTGGATCCTAGGCCATGCTAATATAGCCGGGAACGAGATAGCAGACCAGTTGGCGAAAGATGCTGCAAAGGAGGCATCATCACTAAATGACCAATATAATGTCATAACTATGTCGGATGTAAGAAGTGCAGTCAAGATGTCTACAAAACTGAAATGGCAAAGCAGATGGACAATCAGTGAAACAGGGGGACAGCTATACGATCTGGTACCTATTGTTGGGAAAATAGTACAACTAGACTTCCCTAACCCCCAAGTTGGAAGAATATTATCAGAACTAAGAACAGGCTACAACAGGCTAAACAAATACAGAAACCAAATAGGTCAATCCCTCATGCCATATTGTGAATGCGGTGAAGAAGAAACGACAGAACACTACTAAATATACTGCCCAAGATACCATCAGGAAAGAAAGAGAAGACTTGAAAAAACAACTGGAAATACATCACGTTCCACTAGACATTTAAACACTACTTTCACCATCAAAGAGAGAAACATATGAAAAATCTGCACACATTATAGGGGAATATCTATCTAAATCAGGCCGTTTTCAAGAACTGGCAATCCCTGAAACCCGATCCTGCGCCTAAACAGACTTTCTAAGTACTATGAGAAATTACTATGAGAAATGGTGTACCATAAGAGGAAACTATTCGTACAAGCGAGACAAGTTGTGTCAATTTTGACCTAAGGATCAGGATCAGGTTCCGTAACACCTGTGTTCATCTCCAGTTTTTTGGGGTTCGAGCTGTTCGTTGATGTGTGTACATTTTAGTTTTTTGTGTTATATGTTGGTTGTCTGTGTCTCCGTCGTTTTGGTGATCTCATATTTGTTCTTTTTCTTTTTGGCACTTTGTATATAAATAAGATGTGGTATGAGTGCCAATGAGACAATCCTCCATCCAAGTCATAATGTATCTAAATAAAATTGAGAATGGAAATGGGGAATGTGTCAAAGAGGCAACAACCCGACCATAGAACAGACAACAGCAGAAGGTCATCAACAGGTCTTCAATGCAGCGAGAAATTCCCGCACCCGGAGGCGTCCTTCAGCTGGCCCCTAAACAAATATATATACTAGTTCAGTGATAATGAACGCTATACTAAACTCCAAATTGTACACAAGAAACTAAGATTAAAAATAATACAAGACTAACAAAGGCTAGAGGCTCCTGACTTGGGACAGGCGCAAAAATGCGGCGGGGTTAAACATGTTTATGAGATCTCAACCCTCCCCCTATACCTCTAGCCAATGTAGAAAAGTAAACGCATAACAATAACCACATTAAAATTCAGTTCAAGAGAAGTCCGAGTCTGATGTCAGAAGATGTAAACAAAGAAAATAAACAAAATGACAATAATACATAAATAACAACAGACTACTAGCAGTTAACTGACATGCCAGCTCCAGACTTCAATTAAACTGATTGAAAGATTATGTCTTCATCATATGAATATCAGGCACAATCCTTCCCGTTAGGGGTTTAGTATCATACCATCATAACATATATGAGAAGAACATAACCCGTGTCATGCCAACAACTGGTTTTTAAATAAATGTGTTTAGTGCCGATGCAAAGACCCTATAAGTGAATCAATATTAACGCCAAAATATGCAATCTTTAATGACCTGACAACAGTATCGTAACTATATCCCTTCTTAATAAGTCTATTTAAAGGTTTTGTTAGCTTCAGAGGTGAATACTGACATTTTTGTGCTTTATAAAGAATATTTCCATAAAAAATTGGATGTGAAATACCTGAACGTATAAGAAGTCTGCATGTTGAGCTATATTTACGAATGATGTCCTTATACCGATGATAAAATTTAGTAAATGTTTTGACTAGTTTGTGATATCGAAAACCCTGGTGTAATAATTTTTCAGTAATACATAAATTTCTCTCGTTAAAATCTAAAACATTGTTACATACACGAGCGAATCGTACAAGTTGAGATATATAAACACCGTAAGATGGTGACAAGGGAACGTCAACATCTAAAAATGGATAATTAACGATAAGAAATGAAAAATCATCTCTTTTATCATATATTTTAGTATCAAGCTTTCCGTTAATGATATAGATATCAAGATCGAGGAAAGGGCAGTGGTCATTGTTAGTATTAGCTTTATTTAAAGTAAGTTCAACAGGATAAATTTCTTTAGTATACATACTAAAGTCGTCATTATTGAGAGCCAAAATATCATCCAAATATCTTAAAGTTTTATTAAATTTGTGTATCAGATGTTGTTTCGATGGGTCTTTGCTGATTTTTGTCATAAATTGTAACTCATAGCAATACAAAAAAAGGTCCGCAATAAGTGGTGCACAGTTAGTCCCCATTGGAATTCCGATAACCTGACGATATACGGAATCTCCAAAGCGAACAAAAATGTTATCTAGTAAAAATTCAAGGGCATATATAGTATCAAAGCATGTCCAATTGACATAGTTTTTTTGTTTATTGCTACTAAAAATGACCTAAAAAAGTTTGAACATATATATTCACATTCTGACTTTTTAAATGCCCATTTAATTAGGTGTGCGAATTTTTTCTTAATGAGAATGTGAGGCAATGTGGTATATAGGGTAGAAAAATCAAAACTTTGAACAGATTCAAAATCACCAATATATGCATGCAATTTATCAAGTACTTCCAACGAGTTCTTGACACTCCAAAAGTAATTAATTCCACTATTTTCGAAGGCCTTATTTGAACAATTTATTATCAGGTTTTTGATTGTACCAAGTGTACTGGTAAGAAGAATAGACAATTTAGTAGTGGAACAATGGCTTGAAGACGAAATGAATCTATATTTGTAAGGTGTTTTGTGTAGCTTCGGAAGCCAATACATAGTTGGGACTTTCATTGTATTTGGTTCTGCTTGTAAAGCGGTAGCTAAAAGTTTATGTTTGTTACAGATGTCGTTTTCTGAAAATGGAGTCAGTTGGAATGTTGGTGAATTGGTGATTTCTTTTCTCAGAACCTCAATGTAAAATTTACGTCAAACAATAATAATATTATTAGCAGCTTTATCGGCCGGAACAAAAACAAATTCCTTGGCTAGTTCTTTTAGTTTATGTTTGATACGAGAAATAGGTTTATTGTGGTTATTGTTAAGAGTAAAATGTTCTTTAAAATGTTGAATACGTATATCAACTATGTTCATTACTGATTTAAAAAAAGAGTCCAAAGATTTTTTGTCAGCTTTTTCCCGTTTTATCCATTTCAAACAGTAAGTATGGAGTGAGTCGTGGATGATATTACGACACTCATTCCAATTAATAATTGACGGGGGACGATATTTAGGTCCTTTACTGAGGAATGATTTTAACTCTCGGTCTTGAACGATGTTAAGATCTCCTGTTATAACATGGGAAATGGGTCCATAAATGTATTCGGAATTACTGCAATTACATGAAGTGGGTGTATTTTCACTGATATTAACATCTTTACACAATTGGCTATAATTAAACACAAATTTCCGGGTAGATTTCTTTTAAATATAACAAATAAGAGGGAGCTCAGTATTATCAAAATATCCCGGAATTTGTTCTTTAACAGAATGGTCGTTAAAAATACCGGCAATATTTACAAAATCAAAACCTTTATTGACATACTTTATTTTAATAAACTGTTTTTTATGATCTTCAGGGCGATCAATTTTGGGAAAGAGTTTAGAATAACAATATGCCATTATAATTTGAACGATTTCATACTTAGGACTGCTATATGAAATTGTGTTGCAATCCTCCAAAATTTTATTTAACTTATGAACCGGTAATGAACAGAGCTTTGTTAACAGATAATGTCTGCCGTTGTTTTTTGAAATAGAAATTAGGTCCGAAATATTGGTATGATTGGTCCGAAATTTTCTTTGATTGCGATTTTTTCTACGACCATGAGAACGGTTTTTACGAACAGTTTTAGAAACTATATCCAAAATGTTAACAGAATCGGTTCTTGATATATTACCAATTCCCATGATATTATCATTAAGACCGAGAGGGTAGACTGTCTGTAATTTTTTAATCCAATTTAATTCAATTATTTTCCGCGATCGTACAAACTTTGAATGAGATTCACCAGGCTGCTTATTTACTACTTCTAAAGGTTGAACTGCTAAGTATTTAATAGGATGATTGTGCTTCTTAAGGTGTTGATAAATGATACTTTTGAATTTATTGGGTCTTTTAAAACGATACAGATGTTCTTGAGTGCGTTTAGATAAATATCGTCCAGTTTCACCCACGTACTGAATACCGCATCACGGTTTGTTTCATGTGAGTAAATAAATTATACTGTTTGTTTTTCAAGTTATATCAGTTTCAAAATTAAAAGAAAATGTGCGACCATTAAACGTGGACCTTGCCGTATTGTTGGTGGAAAGACGGGGACATGTAAGTCATTTTTTGGCATGACACTTATCGATAGAAGGGTAACCACGATTTTTATTGTTAAAAATGTTAGCGATGGTAGTATTTTTAGATAAGCGATTTTGAAGATTGAGACGTGTAGATACCCTTTGAACGAGTTTAGTATTTAATATTTTTCCATTTCTAAGCTTCATATTTGTTTTTTGTTTGTGAATTATATTAGAAAGGAGCAAAGACTGGCGTCCAGAATATGAACCAGCATACAATGAATTAAATTATGTAAAAATGATAAAACCGAAAAAGAAAGGGTATATCAGGGTAGCGACTGACGTCTGACTAAATAGTAGAATGGGGCTGAATATTGAAATACTACTTTTTGATAAATATTCCTAAAGTAATGAACTAGAGAAGTTCTCGCTCGGACACACACTCCATAATCTAGTATATTATAAGAGCATAAACCTGAAGCACGGGGAGGCACTCTACTGTCTCCACACGGCACTAAAGACAAACTCTGTAAAAAATAAAATTGAGAATGGAAATGGGGAATGTGTCAAAGAGGCAACAACCCGACCATAGAACAGACAACAGCAGAAGGTCACCAACAGGTCTTCAATGCAGCGAGAAATTCCCGCACCCGGAGGCGTCCTTCAGCTGGCCCCTAAATAAATATATATACTAGTTCAGTGATAATGAACGCCATACTAAACTCCAAATTGTACACAAGAAACTAAAATTAAAAATAATACAAGACTAACAAAGGCTAGAGGCTCCTGACTTGGGACAGGCGCAAAAATGCGGCGGGGTTAAACATGTTTATGAGATCTCAACCCTCCCCCTTTACCTCTAGCCAATGTAGAAAAGTAAACGCATAACAATACGCACATTAAAATTCAGTTCAAGAGAAGTCCGAGTCTGATGTCAGAAGATGTAAACAAAGAAAATAAACAAAATGACAATAATACATAAATAACAACAGACTACTAGCAGTTAACTGACATGCCAGCTCCAGACTTCAATTAAACTGATTAAAAGATTACGTCTTCATCATATGAATATCAGGCACAATCCTTCCCGTTAGGGGTTTAGTATCATACCATCATAACATATATGAGAATGGTAAACAACTGTCATATTCCTGACTTGGTACAGGCATTATTATATAATGTATATAATGGAATATTATGCAACTGTCATGTAAGTGATCATAAGTGAGAGGTTTAGCTAGCTTTAAAAGCAGGTTTAATCCAGCAATTTTATACATAGTAATAATGCCTGTACCAAGTCAGGAATATGACAGTTGTTTACCATTCGTTTGATGTGTTTGAGCTTTTGCCATTTTATAGCGGACTTTCCGATTTGAATTTTCCTTGGAGTTCGGTATTTTTGTTATTTTACTTTTTTCATATTAGTATACATGTGACAAGAGTGTGGATTCGTTTAAGTATACATGTGACAAGAGTACGGTTTCATATTAGTTTACATGTTACAAGTTTCATGTTATTATACATGTGACAAGAAAAACCCTTATTATTTGCATAATGATTTAATCGAGATTTAATGCACGAACGATAGCAAAATCCAAATATGTATGATATCAACCTATACATGTATGTCTACAAGCTATTATAGTGAACTATTCCAAATCGATCTTTAATATATTTTTGTTTTTTTACATGTAAACTCAGTAAAGTATACCGCTTATCCGTTGAAACGTTCAACTATACATTATAATGTCGCATAAGAAAACATCATTATGTTCTGCAAAAGAAAAGTATCGTATTATTTATATATAAAGTTAAGTTGTGTAATGCTGCTAATCGTATAACGATATGCTATGGTATATACGGTTGTTGTCGAACAATGTCATACTATTAATAAAAACGTAAAGCAATTTAAGGATGTACACCTCTGAGAAGCCAGAAATTTCTAGAATTAAACTTTTTTCTTAACCTGATTTTTGGTTTACATGACTGTAAAAAAATAATTGGTGGGGAAAAAATCATATGGTGGTGCACTTCTTTTTTTGCTACGGCCATTTGAAAGTACCCAATTCTGATGATTTTCCCATTTTTCATCAATTTTTACCCATTTTTGGGCTATTATCATGGAAAAAATCACAGTTTCACAATTAAACTTTTTTTCATACTTTCAATAAAGATGAAGTGAACCAATCTGAATAAATTTAACTCAAAAAAGCTATAGGTAGGTGTTGATATAAGAATGTTTTATAAAATTTTGTTGCTTTTTTGTGTCAAATTTACCATGCTGTCAATTTTGTAAATTTGGGATTTTTCTCATTTTTTAGAACAAAAAGCATATTATTTCAAGTTCTTTGTTATAAATGATTGAAGAAATACATATCTAAGAAATTTGAAAAGAAAATATTAATATGGGATGCACATGTTTCTGGTAAAATCTGCATTTCTTGTACCCCTCGCCCATTTTCTCAACATTTTGGCTAATGTGACTGATTTGATACGTAAACTGAGAATTTGAAAATTTTATTACTCAAAAACTACTTATTGTAAATACATATTTTTTTTCACAGAGTTGAGTTTAATTATAATATTTTTTTAAGTTCATTGCTATTTTCCACTTGTATCACATGTGTTGGAAACAATTCCAGAACGAGATTTCAACGAGACTGAAACGTCAGAAGAATACATCCTTAAACAATTTGGAGATTTTAGTAAAATGTTCACGCTGTCTTGGTTCAAATACCTTCAGACAGCTAATCCAACCAAGTCAAAACGGCTCGCCTTCGGTCCGCTCTAAATTTGTGTTTATCGTCCGATGAATGATGCCAATAAGGAATCTGTTATGAAAAACTGAAAAAAAATAGTTTACCTGCTGGGATCATTCGACCATCAGGTAACAGTATATCCTTTTCTGCGCCTCGAGCTATATTTGGTACCGGTGCAAACATTCTCATACTTTCTTTCAAACACATCACAGTGTACTCTAGTTTGTTTACATCTTCACTTAAATGAAAATTTATCTGTGTTTTAACTTTAATACAACGTTTCTCACTGTATTAATTAGGCATCCGATTATAAATTGAAAAGAATAACAATACCCCCCTTTTCTTATAACTGTCATTTACCAATCACCTTTCTTCTCCCTCGTAAATTATTTCTTTTAGGTATAAAATTACACCTTTAACATTCAATAATGATGTTTATACGCTTATTGTATTTTCTATATGCTTATATGCATATTCGTCTGCCTATCAGCATGTAAGTATAATTTTGTAACTTTGTAAATTTATTTTTGAACTTAGGGAAATAGATTTAAATAATAACACTGCTCTTGTTTCGTATACCCTAGTTTGGAATTGCTCGTTAAGAAAAAACTGAAGTTGTAACAAGTGTACGCAATTTTTTTTTGAAAAATTCCAAGTTGAAGTATTTTCAAAAACAATACAATTGCAACAACAACAAATAATTACAATATGTGAAAAGTAAAATAACAAAAATACCGAACTCTAAGGAAAATTTTAAACGGAAAGTCCTTTATCAAATGGCAAGACTAAAAGCTCAAAACACCGAACGAATTCGAAGAAGAACAACTGTTATATTCCTGACTTGGTACAGGCATTTCCTTATGTAGAAATGATTTGATTTCAGTCAAAATATCTATCTATTTCGCTTATGCATAAGTGGAGACGTTTAATATGATTACCATGTGATGTCTTCCTTATTTCCCCATTTTTCTTTTATTTCTTCTCTACATCTTTCTTGATATTCTGGATGTTTAGCTAGGTTATAAAGGCACCACGATACAGTACTAGCAGTAGAATCGTGACCCTCAAACATAAATGTATCTACTTCATCTTGTATCTCTGTATCAGACAAGCCATTCCCATCCTCGTCCTGAAAAAAAAACCTGATTAAAAGTCTTCGATTTTTCCTCATTATAATAGCACACAACTTACCATCAACACCAATGTTGGTACTAATAGAAAATGCGTTCTATAGATAATAGCGAATATGTTCCCAATGTTGTAACTACAGTCCCGTCCATTTTCCCCCAATGTGACCTACCGAATTAGACTTATTACCGGGTTTGTACTAACATGAGCAACACGACGGTTGCCACATGTGGAGCAGGATCTGCTTACCCTTTCAAGAGCACCTGAGATCACCCCCAGTTTTTTGTGGGCTTCGTGTTGCTCAGTCTTTAGTTTTCTATGTTGTGTTTTGTGTACTATTGTTTGTCTTTTGGTCTTTTCTTTTTTAGCCATGGCGTTGTCAGTTTATTTTCGACTTATGACTTTGAATGTCCCTCTGGTATCTTTCGCCTCCCTTTATACAACTAAAATATGTTAAACATTTGAAAAAACGCAGAAATCAGATCACTGTTAAATTGCACCATTCAACAAAAAATTACAAACTCCCGAATATGTTAGGCCAATTTACCCTGAATTTATTTCACACCCGGGTCGCTTTCACTAAAGGTTTTCAATCTTTACCTATATTCACATGTATGTATTTTCAGGGTTCTAAAATTATTGTGGCTTATTTCTTAACCTAACTATAAGCAAATATTGAAGACCAATAAACTACCAAAAAAAAAATATAAAATAAACCTACAAAAATAAACTACAAAAAAACATTTCATCTCAATTAAATCTACTTTCAGATGAAGAACAGCAATATAAGCATTGCTCCTTTATATGGATTATTTTCGTGTGCGCGTAGTGACTTTGTTTCATGAATTGATCCACCATATATTTTCTTTATCACCTTTTTCCTGTGCATTACCATTAACCAAGTTAATACTTACTGTGTTTTCGAAAATGTTTGAATATTGGTGCAATATATGCAAAATTTAGTAAAACATCTAACACACATAATTTCCCGCTAATCCAAAAGCCTCTGCTTTCTTTCGGTAATTTTATAAGAATTTGGACAAATTTATTTTTGAGAATATCAATGTCATTGACAAGAAAGCTAACTTAGTACCCTTGAGTTAATGAGTATATCAAGAAAAATTGTGATTTTGTTGCCATTTTCCTCTTTTTTCAATGTTTTTTTTCTGTCGGATATTATTTTAGACGAATATTCATGAACAACTTCGCAAGCTTTGTAAAATTTCCTCCTGAAATAAAGTATCGTCTACATTTCAAGACTATTACAGATTAACAAGACTTCAAAATATGTATATGAATGAGATGTATTGTGATTTTATACGGAAAAAAAGATACAAAAGCAAAAAGACACCAAGGGGGAAATTAAAATCGAAAGTTGGAGAAAAAATACTAACGACATTAAAAATAAAAAAAGCAAAAAAAAAAAAGGAGAAAAGAAAAACATCAGTCCACAATACACTAAATAGAAAGATAAAGATTGAGAAATTAGAACATAGAACATAGAAAGATAAAGATTTAGAAATTAGATCGTAGAAAGATAAAGATTGAGAAATCAGAACATAGAAAGATAAAGATTGAGAAATCAGAACATAGAAAGATAAAGATTGAGAAATCAGAACATAGAAAGATAAAGAATAAAGATTGAGAAATCAGAACATAGAAAGATAAATATTGAGAAATCAGAACATAGAAAGATAAAGATTGACAAATCAGAACATAGAAAGATAAAGATTGACAAATAATGTACGAACCCCTCCAAAACCTGGAGTGAATCCAGATAATCTGCAAGGATAAATACTTTTTGCTCCACAAATGGCACCTGCGTGTTTCTCGTGTCATTTAAAATCATCGTTATATAGTCATAAATCTAGGGAAAAGGGGGAGGAATTAGGGCTCCGACAAATGGAACATATCCACAGATTTTCTCTAAAGGTCAACCAAATAATGCTAAGAAACTCAAGCCCGAAAATGATCTTATCAACTGGAAGATATAAACTCTATGTGCAATTGCGGCTGGAGTGTTGTTGCCAGATTGCTACATATATTTTCAAAGTTCACAACGGAAAAAATTGAAGTCATCTGCTTTGTCATAAAGTTAATAGATCCTTGCCAACCATCATTGTCATTTTCTAGATGTAAATCTAGATATGAAACAGACCTAAAAGCGTCTATGGAATCTTTAATTTCAAGTTCTAGTGGATGGATGGAACAGAACGATTTTTAGTACTGTTTTTCGTGGGGTTTTTTTTGTACATAAATCAGGTCTTTTACATTTCCCGTTTGAATTGACTTACATTTGTCATTTCGGGGCCTTTAATAGCTTGCTGTGCGGTGTGGATTTTGTTCATTGTTGAAGGTCGTATGGTGACTATGGTTGCTTAATTCTACATCATTTAGTCATTGATGGACATACTGTTGTCTCATTGGCAATTATACCGCATCTTCCTATTTCATAAGGACCTTTATCGTTAGAGAAAACTAATTGTCTCATCTACTTATTAAGTTAATAACATAAGTACGATGATTTACACATACAAAAGGGAAGGTTAAACAGCAATATTTCTAAATTATTAAAGGATTGACAGGTATACTGGAAAAGTAAGTTCTATCTGAAGTTCAAGAGATATTGTATACAAATAAAAAAAAACCAGAGAAAGCCCAAAAATAGGAAAGTACTTTAGTACTCAGAATCAGTATTATGTATTCAATATAAAAATAAGGAGATGTGGTATGATTGCAAATGAAACAACTTTCCACCAGAGACCAAATGACGTAGAAGTACGCAACTATATTAACGTACGACCTTCAACAACCAAGTAAGTTTTTTGTTAGAAACAAGTTAAAATCTTTTACCTACCCGTTTTCTGTAAATTTGTAAATAAATGGGTTGTGTTGAAGTGGGTTTCTCATCCGTTTTACTATCAGCTCCGACACATCATACACCCCTTGTTTATATGGATGTCTTGTTCTGGAAATAAAGGTACATTGTAATCTAGTATTTGAGTCAATTCTACGCATACATTTATTCTACGGCGGAATAATAAAATGATGAGATTCAATGTATCATGGTTTTGCAGGCATTTTGTTCATCTTTCCTCTCTTCCTTGATAAAAATGGACAATACAAATCAATGGAATGTTCATACCATGTGAACGTATTGGGGATCCGCATCGGATTATTTTCAAACAACTGACAAAAAAATTGAGTAAATCGAACTTTACATAGTTGAGTAAATCGAACTTTTATGTAAGGCAGTGGGTGTACTGATCCAATTAACACATCAATAATTGCGGAACAAAGTGCTTCCCATATTAGTTCTATTTTAAAAACTTTTGAACATGGGTTTCTTGGGAATCTGGAGAAACGGGTCAACATTTTTCGTACTTTTCATTTTGACAGTCACTGTTGTATTCAAACAAGCATTTCATCATACAATCTAAGGTCAGTAAACTTATGTGATGAAAAGTTTCCACCGGCTCTTTCGTTTTTCTCCATTTTTCCTGAAAGACGTATTTTGATAAATGTATATCTATATATATACACGTCTAAACATTATGGAAAGTTCACAATTTGGAAGCTGAAATCATCCCTTTTGTCGTAAAGTTTTGTTTTCGATAACCGGCCCTGATTGTTAATTTCTAGATGCAAGTCATACTGTTAAACATTTATTTCTTCCAATAAATTTCACATGAAAAGTACAGTTGATTGATTGTATACATGTAATATTCATAAAACCCCAACCATATGTACCTATTTTTTCTTTTCTTTAATGTTAATGTGTTATACATAATTTATCCAAAAAAAAATTTTAACAGCATTTTCTTTCAAAGACAATATTCACTTATGCGAATAACACATGCTATAAAATAAGGAAATGGGGTATGAAACCATCCACCAGAGATCAAAGTGAAGCGCAAGAAAGCAAATTTAGGTCACAATTTATCCTTTGATGAGCAAAACTCATACCGTTTAGTAATTTATAAAGTAAATCATGTTGTCTTGACTAAATTATCAATCAGTACACACCCATCAAAATATTGGTGTTCTTTCGTCTTTGTAGATATGATTGATTGTTAAATGACAACCATTTGATTAAAGTAACAGTGGAAAACATGTCACACACATTCATGACAAGAACCTATCATATAATGAATCAATGTCATAGGTTGACCAGGATATTCAGAAAGCAATCGGAATAGGCTGCTACTTGCAAATAAGGGTATAATTGATAGAAATAAAATCTTCCTTGCATTAGGCCCTTTTCCTGTTCAAAGTAACCATTTAACGGCTTTACAAACGATTTGGCTTCAAATGTGCTGAGGTATACGTGTATACTACAACAGAAAAGTCATAAGAATGCATATTTGACAATAAATTGAACATAACCATGGTGACTATACGAAAAGCATTTCTTATCAAACACCAAACCTAAAATCACTTGATTTCCGATGAAACTACAGTCAAACCTGCTTAAGAGACCACCCGTATTAAGTAAAAAACCTGTGTTAAAAAAAAACATTAAATTTAGGTCTCTCTGAAGTGCATTTCATATAGATTTAACTGTTTATTGAGACAAAATGTTTGCTCTCCTTTTAGTGATCTTTTAAAACAGGTTTCACTGTATGTTTTTTCTAAATGGTGTCACACTTACTATCAGTATTTTAGTAGAATCACAAAATGTCTTCACATTATTCTTGATTATATCTTGATGAATTGCTGGTGTTACAAGTCGTCGATTTCTGTCCCATTTCTTACCCCGACTTAGTAAAAGACCATCACCTTATAAAATGGAAATTATTGTCCTTTAAATAAATTGTATTTAATAACAGCTTTCAAACGAGACAGATCAGCTTTAAAAAAAAAACACAAAAAAGCACTGCTTAGTAATCATCAATGGCGTTGGGTAACCATTTTGTGTTGAGGGAAATATCAAAAATTTATCTGCGAGAGGAAAAAGAAATAGAATTAATAATAAAATAATAGATATATATTATAGGTTGCAAACCCCAGTAAAATACATATAAGAATTAAGTGGAATTTACCATTTCAGATTTTAATGAATTTTGCGAAATATTGTAAAAGTGTACAAGTAAACGTTGTGATTGGCTGAGAACGTCCTTTTAAAACAATTGAAATTCAGCCAATGGCGTAACGTGGTTTTTTTTCAATAAATTGATTCATAGTCCTTAGATTCTGAAACAACGAATCACATTATTAATGCCGGTAAAGGATATCATATATATACATAAATATCATAAAGTTTGTTTTGTTTTTTTTAATTTTTACCGAAAAACAGAGATATCAAAAACAGAGTAACCCGTCATCCCTTATTACTTAGAGTTATCTTTGCATCCCTTTTCATCAAGTTAGCATTTAACAATAACTTACCGATCCACGGTTACATCAGTCCATAGGTAATCTCATCTTTAGGATCTATAAAACAAATAGGCAACGGTTTTATTCCTTTCTTAACAATTGTCTGTCGTCATTGAACATAAAATAAAAATATAACATTTTTTTTATGAGAGTGCAATACCTTTATAAGACAATAATTGCAAAGAAACGCATATAGGCAAAGAAAAGGTAAAATTGACACCTCTACCCCAAAAAAAACCATAAACGAACAATAACAAACAAACAAACAAAAACGAACAAAACACAAAACGTAACAAATTACCCCCCCCCCCCCCCCCCTTAAAAAAAGGCAAACAAACTACATATATACAAACTTCTTGTTTTTGCACAGTACCTGTTCCAGACAAGACGTACTTAACAGTGGAAGGGTGGACAGTCATTAAAATGGCATCTGCTGGTCCCACCCATCCAGACAGGGAATGCTCCATTGTATTTCTTGGCATATTCTACAGTCCGATCTCTGGATAGCTAAAATTCAGTACAAAACAATCTGTAAAAGTTACGGTTATCATTGAAAGTAAGACATAACTCAATTACTTTTTATTCGCATATATTTTATTGTATTTAGTTTCATCTATGTTTGTTAATGGATGCTGTGGCCTTAGGTTTTCTTAGAACAATGAACATAGTTGATTTTTAAAGTACCAAAAAAATGTATGTTCTTAATATGTTCAGTGTTACACCACTTTCCAAGAATAGGGAGAGGGTTGAGCTATCAGAAAAATGTTCAACCCCGCTACATTCTTTGTCCAAAGCCTGAATTTCTGCTATCAAGTGGTTGTCGATGGTTGGTGTGTACCACAACTGTTTTCGTTTATAGTTTTAAAATAGTATAAATAATGCTGTTGTTTTTCTCCTTTTGAAATGTTTCAAACTTCGTAAAGCCAGTGCCTATTATAGCTTACTATACGATTTTGCTCGTTGTTGAACTCAGTACGGCGACCTGTTATTGTTCCGTCTTTGTACTGTTGGTCTTAAATGGATAGTTGTCTCATTTGCAATCATACCACATCGTTTTCATAAGGGTCATATGCGTCTGTATGTGCTGTACAGTCACCGATATTTTAATAAGGAAGGACGATTTATTTAAGAGTAGATAAATACTTAATGCTATAAGACGGCTTCCAGTATAAGTATGAGCCTTTTTAGTTGCGTAAATATCTAGTTTATAAGTAGTATAATCTCTGAGCAGGACTAACATTTTGTTTTGTTGAATGTGTTCGGTTACCTACGATATATATTTAGTATAATGTTCACAAGCCTACTTTTGATTATGCATGATTTGGTTTAAACGTGTACAATGTTTTCTGAGAAAAAGTTGTGTGTATATCTTTCTCATAGGGTTCTATGTTAATCATTGTTTCATGTTGACTACCATCTCGGATTTCAAATTAGCACAAAAAAACAACCCTCAAAACTAGTGTAGGATCACCACAGTATCATTTATTCAAGATTAGGTTTAAGTTCTTTATAATCAGTTTACTGTGGCCAAAAGAACGTGTTGTTTTGCAATTACTTTCTTTGAGTCGATCAAATCCCCCCAAAAATAAAACATGTACAATCACACCAAAACAAACGATTCACATCTTTCATTCATACAGAAAACATCTGAAACCATCCAAGATAAATTATATGTATAGCATTGTTAGGTTGAGTTTAAGAAGAATTATATGTAGTTTGGTGTGTTAATTTTGTCCATCCTGCTTCAACTGTGTACTGAAGAACACATCTACTGGGTAATATCAACAAATAAAAAATTATATCTGGCAAAGTAATCTACTAAATAATGTCATAAATAGCCCGACAATGCACCTGTAAGATACATAAACAAAACAAACATTTAGACAACAACGGGGACACATCAAGATATATGTTAGATAACTTCTCAGAAAATAATGCAGGATGAGTGCAAATAACTATAAAGCATACAGAGACTCCATTTTAACAGTTGCACAATTACAATTACAATTTCCTTATGGTACTTTATTCTTACAGTATTTCGCTTGATCCGAGAGTGCACAACATAATTTTTGGTGTAACTTTACATTTTCACATGCAACTCTACATTTGTATCTTGTAATTCATACCGCCAAATACTTGTCAATTACCCACGGCTAACTGCAACTACACCAGTAAAGGTGATAACCTACAAAAATCGGCAAAGCCCGAAAAAAGTGGGTAACTCCTAAAATTCTTTCAAGTTAAGGAGAAGTGGCAGATAAAAGGTGACGGCGGACAGACATAGATGTTAATATATAACCCCGCTATTGCTGAAGGTACAATACAAAGAATAAGAAAAGATTTATTATGGACACACAAACCAATTGTAATATTTCAGCACTTTCTTTCGAAACTTAGATGATAACAGATGGCAAACATGCGCCCAAATAAAACTGCAGACAAAAATAGGTTCTCCAGAAGGACAAGCGATTTCTGCTCTTACACCCGTCCAGCTGCATGCTCACGGTAAAAATCCGATGTTAAGAAATCAAGTAAGAGAACAAGGATAGATTTAGACAGAAAGCTTTTGCAAGCAGATGAAATTATCCCACTTAGATACTGCATAACTTCATCAGATGGCAATACGAATGTTAAATAATCCCGGCGAAAAATAGCCATCTTCTATTCGTGACGATTTCGCGGGTGTGATATAGTATTAAAGTATACCTCCTTCATGTTGCCCCATAACCAATGTGGGGTCGGACCAGGGAAATCCTTCAATGCTCTCTGTAGCTCCTTCCTCCTTTGGTATAATCCATACAGTTTCTTTATTATAAATAGTATTACGAAGACTGGTATAAAGTTTAGCAAAGTTAACGTTAATGAAGCCATTGTGTCCTTTTATATCATCATCTGCAGGTCCATAACATTTTTATGTAGCCATTGTGTCTTTTTTTATTATCTAAAGGTTGATAAAATATGCTGATCAAAGTCATTTGTGGACATTATATAAATGTAGTGGAGTTATATAATATAATTTTAGGTAGAACGGTAGTATTTACTGTCCCTGAAGTAGGTTGTCCTTGTCTGTGTGTACCTACCATATGTTTCCAGGCTGAGGGATGAATCAGGTGTAAAAAAAAATGAAATAATTTAACTTACAGGTGAAAATGAGTTTTAGAAAAATTTGTATTCACTGCCTGACAAAGGATTGATTGATTGATTGATTGAATGGTGTTTAAAGCCACTTTAAGCACTATTGTGTTATTTCGTGGCGGTCGGTTTTTATTTGTGGAGGAAGCTAGAGTGCCCGGAGAAAACCACCGACCTTCGGTAGGAAAACTGACAATCCTAGTCAATTAAGATTGGAGTCGAGCGCACATGCCACGTGCGGGATTTGAACTCACAACCTCAGTGTTGACAGGAGCCGATAGTGATACAGTAGTTCCACTACTTAGACCACTCGGCCACCGAGGCCTGATTAAGAATGCCAAGTACTCAAGGCCTTCAGTTTATAAAAATAGCAGAAAGAAGAACGTCATCATACATATTCACATTTATTTCTGAATGTTAAAAGAAACGTACTTCAGTTAAGGGTGAGCATTCTAAAAAGACCACCATTATCTCTATGGCCCAGGAAATACTATTAGCGTTCTACCTTAAATGAACCAACTAAACATACATCTTTATCATAATATACCACTTGAAGTTTACATGAGGGTGTGGATGGGGTTTTACAGAATAGAGAATAATGGGCAAAATATGTAAAAAATAGAGAAAAATAGAGAAAAATTGACCAAGAAAATAAAGAATAGGGAATAATGAGGTATAAGATATAAAGAATAGAAAAAAAATGCCAAAAAGTATAAAGAATAGAGAAAAATGGTCTAAAAAATTAAAGAATACAGACCCTCTTACATACGTTCAGTGAGTGGGAAAATGAGTAGATACGAAGAGATAGCATATAGAAATTATTTTAATCCAAATAATGGTAAAAATAATTTTAGGGCTTTTTAAAATAATTTTTGACATTGGCAAATCTAATATTATATTGTTGATTTTGGATTTAATACACGCATATTATTTAACAGACCAAGGAAACAGTTCTATACCATTCAATTCTTTGAAGGCTGTCAATAGGAAATACAATTTCTTCAACTATGGATATATCTGTACTCAAACCAATATGGTTTTTTTCTCCGAAGCAGAATTTACTTTGTACATAAAGCTTCATCTTGGCATAGAGTCTCAGAAGGAACAGTTTTGATTTTTTTTTAACAAAATGCTTATACAACAAATGAAGCCAAAATTGCTTCAGATGTTTGTGAGCTGAACGAGAGTTCACATACTGAACTGTCTCGCCTGCTTTACTGGTCATGACTAAATTTTAAGTTGAACGTCTAAAATTATCAAGATCATTTCATTTGTACTTGTCGTACACGAGGCAACACAGTTAAAACACATAATACAAGTATATATAGTGAGATTGGATGCCGAATTCCAAACTCTAACAATTAACTGGCCACGGTACCGCTTACCCTTCAACACTGTTCAAAAACAAAATGAGAGAGTTTATCTATGCATTTTTTTCCCATAAAAGTTGAGCTATATCAAGGTACAAAAAATGCAATCTTATTAAATTTATATTTATATTTAATTGTTTCCGTTCTGATATGTCGAGCAACGATGATGATGCACGACACATCAGAACGGGATCAATTAAAGAATCTTATTTTAATCCGATTGAAAAAAATTGTCATTCAAACCCTTCCTATGTTCTTCGGTTGATAATTTTTTCACAACATATTGTATAGACATAATTTGACAGATTGCTGACCTCCAGATATGTCTTAAGGTTTTTGTGACGTTGGGTTGGGGTCTTATTAACGTATTGAACCGATGTATCTTTTTATTCACAGAAAAAGTCTTCACCAACATAAAATGGTCTAGTTGGGGGGTAGTTCAGTTTTTGTATTCTTCAAATGTTTAGGTAATTTTTTTCTCTTCTATATTTGTTTGCCAATCATTCTCTATTCTTTACATTTTTGCACCCAAGTATACTGTATTCTCTATTCTTTTTTTTTGCCCATTATCATCTATTCTGTTAACCCCATCCACACCCTCACAATGACATAATGGTTCATGTATATCTTATTTTCTTTATAAAGTCGGAACGTGCTTTACATTACAGAGACATGTAACTATAAAGATTAGATATAAAATACAATGAAAAGGTAAAAATAAACGGATTTAAACGAAGTTGTGAACTTGGTGCACGTGATTTGACGCGTCGATATTGTGTATACATACATAAGAGTCACACTAGTTTTTTTTTTATAAGTGCACGTCCACAAGACTAGCACAGGTAAGTTATGTAATTATTTGTTTTGTATATATGGTTTCTCGCCGATATGTATTCAGCTGTTCAGTTTGTTAGTTCCAGCATATTTATAAACGGTTCGTTACATTGCATTTCAAGACTTTTATAAGAAGGGGGGTGGGGGGGGGGGGGGGGGTCTGTATTACTTATATTTCCATGTCGTACAACAGGAGGGACCAGTTTGTAGACTCCGAGTGTATGCACGTTATTTTCAAAGGAGGGGGCGTGTTTGCAGAGCAGCGAGTTCCACTGCTTCCGGGTAGAACTTGAAAATTACAAGTCGAGACGTGGATGAGCTAGAATTTTCGAGAAGAGATCATATGGCATGCTGAGATACTTGAGAAATATACACGGGATCAATGATTATGATTTGTCACGGACGCAAGGGGGATTTGCCGTTGGCCACCATCTTGTGACTTATGACCCTACGCATTTATGATTGATAAACAAACTGGTTTTGAAAAGGGGGAGGGGTCTAGCAACCCAACGTTTGGAGTGATACTTGTAAAAGGTCTATGCATTTATCATATATGTATGAGGCGCCGTTTTACTATTTATTCCTTATTTTCTGATACCAAAATTTCTTGATATAATAAAATAAAGAATATTTTCTGATATCTATAATTTCTGATATCAGGAAATCGATTTTCTGATATCAGAAATTCTAATTTTTTATATCAGAAAATATTCTTTATTTTTTGATATCAAGAAATAGATTTTCTGATATCAAAAATTCGAATTCGATTTTTTGATATCAGAAAATAAGAAATAAATGAAGGATGGCTCCCTGTGTGTCAATAAAAGCGTCCAAGCTCACCCATGAGCCCAAACATCAGGAAATATATTCCAAAAATGATCCGGGTAGACCAATTGTTTTATAGTATGGAGTACCGCTACACGATATTGATCGTTATATTGATGACATAGGCCTTGTTACAAAAACAAAATACTTATATCAAGGACACTTTAAGTTTTATAACATGTAATGATTTAGACTTCAAAGTCTCCAGAGAATTATATTTAATATCATTTGAAGCAAAAAACATGTACACGAATCTTCATTTTGACGAAACTGAACGAGTACTGAATTATCTCATTCCAACTTATTACGAAATTTGAGTCCCATCAACTAAAAGACAATATATTGAAGCTTTTAGGAATTATTCTAAAATATAACATATTTACTTTTGCGTCGAACATTTAGAATCCCAATCGGCGAGATAGTCCTAAGAATTTACTAAATACTGAAAAATGTTTTACAAAGCTTGACACATCGAAACAAAATACTGATGTGATCAAGATTTAGATACGATGGCTGGATGATATATTCAGGTTCAACTGACATAATGCACGATCTTTTCGCCTTATATATCTAATACAATACATTACACACCTAAATTTTACATACCAACTTTCTTGACAGTCGTTTTAATACAAGACAACCGCTTCCAAAATGTAGGTATTTAAGATATAAAAACGTACATCAAACCTACTGAAACTTTTCAATACTTCACAGTAAAACTCATATAAAATAAATGTATTTATAAAGGATTTATGCAAGGCGCGGTCCATAAGAAATACTAGCAGTCTTCATAAAACGTCTCTTAAAAACACAAAATAGACGAAGTATTTGAAAATACAAGACATGCATTTTTTAATTTTTTTTTTGTTATTGGCTTTGAACTAGCTGTCAGTAACTGCGAGTATTCTCAGAACTGTACTTTGAGTCTTTTTGTTGTTGTTACGAATGTATAAATACCCTGTCACGTCCGGTCTGTGTTTTTGTTAGCTGTTTTTCTTCTTTGTATCGATCTGATGATTTAAGCCCCTTTCAACTGATTTTTATAGTTTGTTCTAAAGTTGTACTGTTACACCACTGTCCCAGGTTAGGGGGAGGGTTGAGCGCTCAAACATGTTTAACCCCGACACATTCTTTATGTGTGTGTCCCAAGTCAGGAGCCTGTAGTTCAGTGGTGGTCGTTGGTTCATGTCTGTCATATTTGTTATTCGTTTTAAGCAGTTAGTTTTCTCAATTGAATTGTTTCATATTTTTCATGTCGGGGTCTTTAATAGCCGACTATACGGTATGGGGTTTTCTCATTGTTGATGGCCGTACGGTTCCCTATAGTTGCTTACATTCACTTCATTTGAACTTTGGTGGATAGTTGTCTCATTGGCATTCATACCACATATCCTTATTTTTATATTTAACAGAACTAACTAACTTACTAAATCCGCAACATAACGGGGAAAAAAAAACTAAAAACGAGATTACCAAAACACTGGGGCTTAATTTCACAAAATCCTGGCTGCACAAATCGGTTTCAGAGGAAACCAATAATTGCTTATAAAAGAAACGGGAACTTACAGGAATTTTTGAACATAAACCTTAAAATGATTGAAATGTGAAACACTAAAACACAATACTTCTTATGACTGATGAAGCCGAACTCTAGATATTCTTTCCTTAAACACGACCGAAACACAAGACCTAATGTTAGGGCTCATGGGT